GGTTTAGGGTTTAGGGTTTAGGGTTTAGGGTTTAGGGTTTAGGGTTTAGGGTTTAGGGTTTAGGGTTTAGGGTTTAGGGTTTAGGGTTTAGGGGTTAGGGTTTAGGGTTTAGGGTTTAGGATTAGGGTTTAGGGTTTAGGGGAGGCCGGTCGAGCCGCAGGTTCTCGACGAGGCATGCATCCCGCCCCCTCGGTCCATACCCACGTCCACCGGCAAGGCTGGTCCCGCGTGCGCCGCCTCCGCCCCCACGTCCGACGCATCTCCTTTCGCGGCATCGACCTGACCATGGTTTTCGTCGGACACTCGCTTACACTGACTCACTTGTGCTGTATGCAGCATCCGATGTCGAAGAACTGCCACTACCATGCACGGTCGCAGCTAGTGTACATAGGCTTACGGCTGTTAATTAGGGCCCTAAATGAGGGCTCAGGGCTTAGAATGGTTTGAGGTTGAATGCTTATGGGATTTAGGGTTTAGGGTTTAGAGTTTCATGTTTATAGGCTTTAGGGTTTCGTCCCAAAGCTTAAACCCCAGACCCTAGACCCCAAACTGCGGGGCCCTATCCATTCGTCCGAGCCCCAATCCCTAAACCTGAAACCCGAAACCCTAAACCCGAAACCCTAAACCCTAAACACGAAACCCTAACCCTACACCCTAGACCCTAAACCCTAAACCCTAAACCCTAAGCCCTAAACCCTAAACCCTAAACTAAACCCTAAACCCCAGGTACTTGCGCTTGCAGATGCCCATGACCATGCGCGCTTTCGCAGGCTCGCCCGCACGCCCTCTGCGCTCTCTGGGAACCAAGACCTAAACTCCCGAAACGGGTTTAGGGTTTAGGGTTTAGGGTTTAGGGTTTAGGGTTTAGGGTTTAGGGTTGAGGGTTGAGGGTTTAGGGTTTAGGGTTTAGGTTTAGGGTTTAGGGTTCGCAATAAAAACCCTTAACCCTAGCCTTAAGCCCTAAACCCCAAGAACCCTAAGTAACATCGTTACCCTAAACCCGAAGTAGCCCCTCAACCCTCACCAATGCCTAATCCCTAATCCTTATTCCCCCGCCGCCCCCGCTTCAGGGTTTAGAGCTTTTTTTGCAACCCTAAACCCTGAACCCTAAACCCTGTCCTTCCTTCCTTCCTTCTTTCCTTCCTTCCCTCCTTGATGCCTTCCTTTCTTCCTTCCTTCCTGCCTGCCTTCCTTGCTTCCCTTCCGAAGCCTAAGCGTAAGCCTGAAATCTTAAGCCCTAAACCCCCCAACTCCCAACCCTAAACCGCATACCCCAAAAACCGCAGAATGAACTCTAAACGCTAAACCCTGAACCCCAAACCCCACTAAACCCTAACCCCTAACCCCTAACCCCTAACCCCTAACCCCTAACCCCTAACCCCTAACCCCTAACCCCTAACCCCTAACTCCGAAACCCTAAGCCCCAAACCCTAAACTTTAAACCCGAAACCCCGGAACCAGGAGGCCCTGAGCATGAACTATGGCGCAGCACCGCCTCCTTCGAGGTCGTTCTACCACCAGGCCAAAGGGCGCATTGCTGCTTTGGGCAGGAGGGTTGAGGCTTCAACCCCAAACCCTAAACCCTATTGGAGTTGCACGGGTTTGGGGTTGAGTTTGGGGTTCCGGTTGGGAACCAACTGCTTGGATTCTGTGCACAACTGGGTCATCCTGAACCCTACAGCACCCTAAGCCCCAAACCCATGTAGGATTTTACCCCCTGGTTCTTAGTAGGGAATGAGGGAATTAGGGCCAAAATATACCCTTCAAGGGATTACATAGGGCCCTCATTCCCTCATTCCCTACTAAGAACCAGCCAGTTTAGGGCTTAGGGTTTTGGGTTTTAGGGTTCAGGGTTCAGCGTTTAGGGTTTAGGGTTTAGAGTTTAGGGTTTAGGGTTTAGAGTTAGGTGGTTTCGGGTCACTACGTGCGCAGGCTACGAGTGCAAGCACGCAGACCGAGCTGTGCCGCCTGGCGATGCGGCGGAGCAGGCATTTAGGGTTTAGGGTTTAGGGTTTAGGGTTTGGGGTTTAGGGTTTAGGGTTTAGGGTTGAGGGTTTAGGGTTTAGGGCAACAGGGCTGACTTGATGGCTTCATTAATACGACGAGGACCCAGACTAGGCCCTAATTCCTTTTTTGGGGGGGGGGGGGGCTTGGGTTCCCTTATAGGCGCCTTTAAACCAACAGAGATACCCTTCTTATGCTTGGGGTATTCTTGGGTCTAGTTGATCGATACTAAGGACCCTTGTTGTGTCTCTGTTATGGTATTTTCCTGATGGAGTATATCGGCTAATAAGAAGGGCACAGAATTTACAACATCCAGCCCTCCTACTTGCTTTTGCGTTCAAAGCTGAGCGATGGCCCAGTGCAACTCTAAACCCTGGACTCTATCCCCCAAACCCTAAACCCCCAGTAGTTGCTGTAGTTGCTCCCTAAACCCCCGAGGCCTAAACATGAACCTAAACCTGGGTTTTGGGTGAGAGAGAGCAAGAGAGAGAAGAGCCAACATGGGTAGTTCTACTATAGGGTCCATCTTATAGTCCTTCTGAAGGGTGCTGGACGAGATATGCTAGGACCCAGGGTAGGCCCTTATTCCCTTTTTTGAGGGTTTAGGTTCCTTTACAAGACCCTTTAAGCCAAAAAAGGGCACCCTGGTTATTCCCAGGCTACTCTCGGGTCTAGTATAGCAACCCCCCAAAAAAGGGACCCTGATTTAGAGAACTACCGGGTTCGCCGGAGGGGAGGGGTCGGTGAGAGCCCACGGCTAGGTGAAGTTGAATGAGGAGCCGAACCCTAGGTTTAGAGTTTAGGGTTTAGGGTTTGAGGTTGGGGTCTCCTTGCTTTTGAACTATGAAACCCTGAACCTTTAAGGCGTATTTTGCACCCTAACTTGGGGCTCGCCTCCATTTTTGTCCACCCACCTCCCAAAACTGCGAGGCTCATTTGTGGGGTTCGGGAAACAGGGCTTAGGGTTATCATCGGGTTATCTAAGGGTGGGTGTCGATTGGGGTTTAGGGCTTATGCATCGGATTCGGGGTAGGGTTTCCTGTATTAGGACTTCAGGTGTTGGGATTTAGGACGCTAAACCCTAAACCCTAAACCCTAAACCCTTAACCCTTAACCCTTAACCCTAAACCTGAAGAAACATCAGCCTTTGCCGCTCCAGTTGCAGATGCCCTGGCTGCGCGGTGCTCGGTGGTGTTGATACCCTCCTAGTGCCTTAAGAACCCCCCCCCCCCCCCAAGACCCGAAACCCTGAACCCTGAACCCTGAACCCTGAACCCTGAACCCTAAACCCTAAACCCTAAACCCTAAACCCTGAACCCTGAACCCTAAACCCTAAACCCTAAACCCTAAACCCTAAACCCTGAACCTGAGCCCTAAACCCTAATGCCGATGTTACCCTTGCAATCTTCTTCATCATTGCTTTTCTGTTTTTTGAGACGGGGGGGCAGGGGGTTCTTCAGCAAACAGTAGTACCAGCACGAGCCCACATTCCAAGCCCCAAGCCCTTAGTACGACTAAACCTTGTCATACTTGGGTACCATGTTACATTGTTAAGGGTACTTAAACCCAATAAGGAATATACGTTTGAATTTTTTAATATTATCCCAACCATGAACTAGTAAACCCCAAGCCCCTAATTAAGCCCACAAGCCCCAAAACCCACACCCGAAGCCCAAGCGCCAAGCCCTAAGCCCTGAGCCCTAAACCCCAAACCCCAAACCCCAAACCCCAAACCCCACACCCCAAACCCCAAACCCTAAACCCCAAACCCTAAACCCTAAACCCTAAACCCTAAACCCTAAACCCTAAACCCTAAACCCTAAACCCTAAACCCTAAACCCAGGATCCCAAGCCCCAGTAGGGTTCAGGATGTAGGGTTAGGGTTTTCAGATTGCCACATACTCTCTGGATGGATTTCGGGAGGGTGTGCCAGGAAGGTGACACCCCGCCCATGAGCTGCCAGTCGTACCGCCCCCCGGACTCTCCGGTTTCACTGTCTTGGGACGTCTTCAGCCTTGGCAAAGTTCTACTTGAAGTGGTCTGGCACAACGTGCAGCAGACATATCATGGGCTTCCCTACTACCCCCCTCTATACTCCCCGCCCCCAGGTTCCCCCCTTAAATAACCTTAATTAGGCTAAATTAGCCCTAAATAGCCTTGATTATGGGGGAACCTAGGGGGGGGGGGGTAGTGTAGAGGGGGGTAGTAGGGGAACCCCTGAACATAGAGGCGCTTGATGCGCAGATGTGCTGCGAGTGGCGTCACGGAGGTCTCCCTTGCATCGCTGCCTGGAAGTTGTGGCCTGTTAACCCTAAACCCTAAACCCTAAACCCTAAACCCTAAACCCTAAACCCTAAACCCTAAACCCTAAACCCTAAACCCTAAACCCTAAACCCTAAACCCTAAACCCTAAACCCTAAACCCTAAGCCCTTGTTTGGGACTCCTTACAGCCGTAAGGGCTTACATCATGAGAAGCGGATGTACAAGGGGAACACCGAGTTTAGAGCAGCAGTCGCTTGGGGCCTTAACTCCTAGGCCTAAGCCCTAAGCCCAAACCTTAAACCCCAGTCCTCACACCTTAGGGTTTAGGGTTGAGGGGAGGCTTGATGCAATGAGCTGGGGAATGGGATTTGGGGCGGGTGGATTTCGGACTCTTTGGGGTTTTGCGACTCGGGGCTGGGAGGGCTGCTACTGGGAGGTTCATTTTTAGGGTTTAGGGTTTCGGGTTTAGGGTTTAGAGTGCTTAGAAGTCTAAGTGGGGGTAGATGTACCCGAATTTGGGTTCTAGCCAACTCTATGGTTGCCCTACTGCTTATACCCCAGTTTTTTAAGTACCCATGAAGCAACCAGCAGCTAGCACCCCGAGTAGTCCATTTTTGACATTGAGGGTTGAAGAAACATAATGAGTTTTGCTATTGAAAGTGAAGGTCTCGAGCGCTGTGCCCGGGTGAAGAAGGATCAGTCAGTAGCCTAGGTAGAAGCGCGTGCGCGTGGCATGAAGCACGTGCTTGGCACGCTGGGGCTTTGCGCTTTCTTGCTTGTTGCGCATGGTCTCGCCTCGGACATGTGTCCCGATGGGCAAGATGAAGCTGCTCATTTGCAGGTTAAGGGGAATCTCTCCGCACAGCTGGAGACAAAGAGTCCAGCTCAGAAGTGGCGTCGGTTCCGTTGGCGCAAAAGACGCTACGGTCATTACAGCAAGTACGGTTATTACGGGCCCAAAACGACGACTTCAACAACTACTCCAACAATGACACCGACGGCAAGCAGCACGGGTGGCACGGAGGCAACTACAACCACCCTTTCCGCAACGACGAGCAGCACGGAGGCAACGACGACCACGGCAGCAAGCACAAGCAGCACGGAGGCAACTACAACCACCCTTTCCGCAACGACGAGCAGCACGGAGGCGACGACGACCACGGCAGCAAGTACAAGCAGCACGGAGGCAACGACGACCACGGCCGCAAGCACAAGCAGCACGGAGGCAACTACAACCACCCTTTCCGCAACGACGAGCAGCACGGAGGCGACGACGACCACGGCAGCAAGTACAAGCAGCACGGAGGCAACGACGACCACGGCCGCAAGTACAAGCAGCACGGAGGCAACTACAACAACCCTTTCCACAACGACGAGCAGCGCGGAGGCGACGACGACCACGGCAGCAAGTACAAGCAGCACGGAGGCAACGACGATGTCAACAACTGCGAGTACCACTACCGCAGTCTTGGTGCCTCGCTGGATCATGGGCCCAAATCCGAACCCTCCAGGAGCACCGAATTGCCCTGGATGCACCCAGGTTTGTATCGACAACGGCTACACGCAGTGCGGGCCAGATGAGATGGCGCAGATCAACACCAGGACTGCCGTTGTTGCTTTGGTGGAAAGTGTGTTCAACCTCACCTGCTCGGCAACCAATGCAGGGAGAAGCTATGCAGGGTCACCATTTTTCGATTTCAGGGCTAACAACTGCATCTACTACACTGGAGGATCGCCAGGGAACATTGACTGCTCGCGCAATAGTTTCCCAACAGTCCATTCAGTAATCTGTTGGTGCAAGTAAGCTGAAAACTGGCTGACCGTCCATTGCAGTCCTGTATTCAAGCTGACAGACTGCTCATCTTCAGGCGCGAAAGAGAATGCGTCGGCACTGAGATCTAGAATATTTGAAGTCTTGATTGGTCGAAACCTGTCCAAACAAGCCTTGCGCAGAGAGATGCCACTAAACGGTGTGTTGGGTGTTGCGGGGTGCCAATAGAGGGTTTTTGGATCGGGGGCAGGGCTGCGTGTTGAGGAATTCCGGACCACACCCAGAAGTTAATATCGGGATCTGAAAAGGCGACGTTTAGCCCTCTATATGGCCCTCAAGCCAACATCAATCCGAAAGTGAAACCCAAGAGATAGAGACCCAAAGTGCCACAGTAGGTGAAAGCATCAACACTGTAAAGTACCAATGCGTCGCAGACACATGCAACAGCGTTTAATCAGCAAATCCTCCAGGGGTTGCTATCGATCGGTCTCATGCGCTCGCAGATGTGGCTGGTTGTATCAGTTGTTATCTGAATCTGGTTTATCAACCCATAAACCCTGGACCTCAGAAACCCTAAACCCTAAACCCTAAACCCTAAACCCTAAACCCTAAACCCTAAACCCTAAACCCTAAACCCTAAACCCTAGACCCTAGACCCTAAACCCTAAACCCTAAACCTCCTACCCCTCCTAAACCCTAAACCCTAGACCTCCTAAACCCTAAACCCTCACAAACCCTCAGACCCTTGAGCCCGCACAAACAGCCCCGGGGCCGAGGTCGGTGACGGCGCCTCAGGCTCCCGCACGGCTCTTGCAGGGGTTTAGGGTTTAGGGTTTGGGGTTTAGGGTTAGGGTTTAGGGTTTAGGGTTTAGGGCTTGGGGTTTGGGGTCTGGGGTTTAGGGTTCGGGTTTGGGGTTAGGGGTTTAGGGTTTAGGGTTTGGGTTTAGGGTTTGGGGTCTGGGGTTTGGGGTTTAGGGTTTGGGGTCTGGGGTCTGGGGTTTGGGGTTTAGGGTTTGGGGTTTAGGGTTCAGTGCGGTGTAGGGTTGCGTGTTTAGGGTCTGAAGTCAGGGTTTAGGGTTTCGGGCTTTCGGGGTTTTCGGTTCAGGGTCTAGGGTTTAGGCTTCCGGGTTTTGGGATTTGGGAGTTTTTTTTTGTTTACCCTAAAGGTTTTGTTTAAACCCTCAACCCTAAACCCCAAACCCTGAACCCCAAACCCTAAACCGCAAACCCTGAACCCCTAAACTCTTCGGCTTGTTCATAGGGTTCTTAAGGGGGCGTTAAAGATAAATTTGTTCATGATATGACCGAAGGTCATTTCATTACCTAGGGAGAAGCTGGGTTTAGGGTTAGGGTTTAGGGTTTAGGGTTTAGGGTTTAGGGTTTAGGGTTTAGGGTTTAGGGTTTAGGGTTTAGGGTTTAGGGTTTAGGGTTTAGGGTTTAGGGTTACATACCCCACTTGAATCCCCCGCTCTTAAGGACCCAAGAAGATGTGAGTCAAAACTTCCGGTTTGGCGTTTAGGTTCGAGGCTTGGGGTTTAGGGGTTTAGGATTTCGACCCCTTTTGGTTGCGCGCCTTGCTGTTAATACTGCCAGACACTTACTCAGAGCGACAGAGGTAGTAGTATCGACCTGTATAGACTCGCCCCTAAACCCTAAACCCTTACTAAACCCCAAACCCCAAACCCAGGAAAGCGGCTGCTGGTTTTTTGGGGCTGAGGGCTTTGAGGGATGAGGGCTTGGTTTGGGGTTCAGGGTTCAGGGTTAAGGGTTCAGGAAGCAGGGGTTCAGGGTTTAGGTGTAGGGTTTAGGGTTTAGAGTTTAGGGTTTAGGGTTTAGGGTTTGGGGTTTAGGGTTTAGGGCTTTCTGGTGCGCAGTGGTGAGTTGGGGGTTTCTCAAGGGATGGAGACTCGCACCCCTAAGCTTGTACCCCTAAAGGCTCCCCTGAGTCGAGTCCTAATTTGGCCCCTCTATTCCCTTAGGCATCCTAAAAACGGGACCCCAAAACCCAAGGGTACAACTAGGACCCGGAGTAGCCCCTTATTTCCTTTTTTTAGGGTTGGGGCTCCCTTATTATCATCCCCTTAAAACTTTGGGGGGGGTGTTGGGGCTTTTGGTTTCGGGGGGGGGGGGGGGGCTGGGCCGGCTTCGGCGTTGTAGGGTTTAGGTTTAGGGTTTAGGGTTTTGGGGTCTGGGATGTAGGCTTAAAAGGAGTTTTGTGGTCCTCACGTTTAGTCAGCGTTTTCTCAGGTTTAGGGTGCGAAAACCCCAAGCTCTCCCAGATTGCTAGCCCCGAAGCCCGGGCATCTCTACTTCAGTTGGCTTTATGAGGGTTTAGGGTTTAGGGTTTAGGGTTGAGGGTTTAGGGTGTCGGGCTTCGCTTTGGGGGGCGAAGAGGCAGAAGATGGATGCTAGTTGCATAGTTGGGTGCGTGTGGGATAACGAAGCCCTAAACCCTCACCGTTTAGGGCCAACCCCCGAGGCATCCCCAGCCAGGATGCCAAAGTCGTTGGTGAGGGAGGCCACGCAAGCTCCTGCGGGAAAGGCTGAAAGCCTCTCAAGCCTCGCTTTACTCTGGAAGAGCATTCCGTCCCCACGTCCACGTTTGCTCCTGCCTGGGAAACTGACTCCAGAGACACGCGGCGCTTTTCCAGACCGTTGTTGACATGAGGTAGTACATCCACAAGAAGAAATCGCACAAACTTACGGACGTTTCCCTTCACGTGGCCGCGGGCTTCAGTTTTTGTTTTGTGCTTGGATTTCTGCCCCAGAGGTCTTGAACCTTAAGCCCTAAAATCTAAGCAGCTCTATAAGCCCGACACTCCGAGGCGGTTTGGGGTTTAGGGAAACCCCAAAACCCCAGATCCGATACCCTAAGCCCTGGTTCCTAAACCCTAAACCCTATGCGTACCCTAAACCCTAAACCCCAAACCCCAAACCCCAAGCCCTAAACCCCAAACCCCAAACCTAAACCCTAAACCCTAAACCCTAAACCCTAAACCCTAAACCCTAAACCCTAAACCCTAAACCCTAAACCCTAAACCCTAAACCCTAAACCCTACACCCTAAACCCTAAACCCCCCTGAGCCGTCGATGCTTTGCAGGGTAAAGGCCTCCTCCCGGGCGCGGATGTCCGAGAGGGTGGGAACACGCTGGGGCCTTGGCCTACGAACCGCGGGAGCTGAAAAGCCCTTACTTGAGGAATAGGGTTTAGGGTTTAGGGTTAGGTTTCAGGCCTTCGGGATCAGCACCATTGAGCCCAAAGTTCGCCGTAGAAGTTTCTCTGCAGTTGTGAGTGGGTAGTTTCAGGGCCCATGTCCTTCTACAGCCCAAGAAGCAACAGACAAGCACCCTGTTTTGTTCAGATTCGTGAATAACCTCGGAAGGACTCATGGGTTTAGGGGGGGTTCGAGGTTAGGGGTTTTGAGGTTTGGGCTTAGTTCTAGGCTTCACGTGGCAGCCCTGAACCCTAAACCCTAAACCCTGGACCCTGGACCCTGGCAAGGGCCGTTGCCTCTTTGGGGGTCTGAACCATACGGATTAGAGGTTGATTAATTCAAATGAAAGTTTGGGGGCAACCCTAAACGCTAAGCCCTAAACCCGAAACCCTAAGCCCTAGACCCTGAACCCCATCGTATCGGGGTTCGATTGTCCGAAAGTGTGGGCCATGTTTGGTGGGGAAGGCTATAGAAGACACTATACTAAAGGCCACCAAAGGCCCTCAACCCTAGAGTTTAGGGTTCAGGGTTTAAGGTTTAGGTTTAGGGGGTTTGGGGTTTTGGGGGGTTTGGGGTTTAGGGCTTAGGGTTTAGGGTTTGGGGTTTGGGGTTTAGGGTTTGGGGTTTGGGGTTTGGGGTTTAGAACAAACAACATTGAAAAGGTGCACCAGGCAGGGTCTTTCAGGATCTTGTTGGGGGATTAGGGTTTGAAATTTCGGGTTTAAGGGTTTCGGGTTTAGGAGGGCGTCTTGGAGGTTTTTGGGATTTTACGGTTTGTGGCTTTTGGGTTCAGGGTTTAGGGTTTGGGGTTTTGCATTTACGGTTTTCGGGTGTCAGGATTTTCGGTCACGGATCGTAGGTTTCGTGTTTTTCGGTCTTAGTGGTTTAGCCCTCCCCCCCCCCCCCTCGCACCGAGGCCTAACAAGCCCAAAATGCAAACATCTCAAGGTCCTAAACCCGAAGCCCTAAGCCCTAAGCCCTAAGCCTGAACCCCTAAAGCCCAAGCCCCACCCCAAACCTCAAGCCTGAAGGGACCCAGGACTTTCATGTCATCCCCCCGAGCAAGTGTTTCAAGGAAGGGTTTCGAGGTTGAGGTCAGCCAAACTCCCAAACCCGAACCCTAAACCCTAAACCCGGAACCCTAAAACCTAAACCCTCAACCCGGAACCATAAACCCTAAACCCTAAACCCTAAGCCCGCAGCCCTAAGCCCCAAGCCCTAAGCTCCAAAGCCTTGCCTCGAGTTCCCCCACTAAACAGTGGACAGTTGCAAGCAGGCTGCCCCCCCCCGCCCTCCCCCCCCTCCCCCTTCGCCAAGTGATAAGTTGGGCGAGAATGGCCCTAACGAGAGTTGTATTTCTTGTTATGTAGGTTTCGGGTTTGGGTTTACGGTTTAGGGTTTGGGGTTTCGGCTTCCTTTCGCAATTTTAGTAGCCCCTCCTTTTGCAAGGAGTGCGCCTGGCGTGATCTATCCCAGCGGTGACTGGGAGTTTGTGAACAACAAGCGCCTGGGTGTTGAACCATTGGGAATTCAATGGTCAGGATTCTTAGGTTTAGGGTTTAGGAGTTTAGGGTTTAGGGTTTATGGTTTAGGGTTCAGGGTTAGGGTTTAGGGTTAGGGCTGAGGGTTTGGCATCATTTTCTTGAGTACCTTAAAGATCTCAAAACCCCTTGATGGGCCATTGATTTTGAAAATGTTGACATCTCAGCCAGTAAGGAGTCGCAATGTTCGGGCATAAGGCTCTCAAGCTTAAAGCCTAGACTAGACCCTGCACCCGAAACCCTAAAGCCTTCACCCTAAGCCCTAAACCCTAAACCC